TGTAGTGGTTGGGGGGAACAGGAAGTTCTCCAGCTGTGACTCCATGCAGTCCTGGTGCCATTTCCCCTGCTGACGATGCTGTTTGCACAGCACAGCTCTGCTCATGGGGCAAATAGAAACGTTCAATACCCAGCGCTGCTCGCTAGCAGTTTTCACAGGCATCTCTATTCCTTTCTTTCTAAATTAGATCTTTCTATTATAACTTCAAGGCCTCATGAGTCTCCTTGGCATTTATTAAATAACAACTACACTCTCTGATTTACCATGTTACTACATGATCCAGGCGCACGCTGCTGCAGCTCACAGCACGAGCAAACCCATGCAAGAGGGAAGCAAGTCCTGGAGCCCCCCGAGCCCCATTCCCAACCAGAGAGATGCAGCCCATGCCACTTATTTAAAGGCAATGCTTGCACGACTTCTTTGACAAAAGCTTTGGAGCTCCTGAAGCTCGTGACCGTGGAACCCAAACACCTGCTGAGCTCAGTCCACGCTCCCTCCCCATCCTTCCCCCCGCAATGCTTTCACCAAAAAACCTCACGGACACAACCAGATTTGCATTTTAACGGATTCATTTTGCCCCCAAACTTGAAGACGTGTTTGGGGAACACAAAACCGCCACCGAAAGGTTTGCAGGACCTGAGGCTGTCGCTGTTCCCATGCCCCCAGCTGGCAGCACGCTGACTCACACCCCACCGACAGCAATGCACCGGCGTTAACACAGCTCCATGCGAAAGCAGTAATTGGCCCAGAATCCACAGGTCTCCTGACAACAGGAAGAGCTGCGAGGTGAGTCCTTTCATTCTTACCGTTTCGGTTTTAATCTCGTCCCTTTTCTTTCTGGATTAAAAAAAAAAAAAAGAAAAAGAAAAAAAGAAATGCATCGCCTGAGCTCCGGCTTCAGCCTTGATAGCCCGCAGCAGCTTTTGCCTCTAATGTGTGCAGAGCCACCTCTAATGAGAGCCCATCCCTGCCCCCTGTAATAAGCTGCAAATGGGATGCGCAGATCCTGAGGTCAGGGAGGACGTTTCATTTTGAAAACACCAACGTTTCCCTGCCATCCCCTAACAAGGGGCCCAATTAGAGCTTGTGACTTTGTCATCCACCCAGCAGGGACGTGTGGACCACTGCTCTCATTTCCACAAAGATCACGGATCAGGAAGACAAATCATCCCTAATGGGACCTGGGGGAGAAGCTCCCTGTTCATTTCGAGCTGCAGGATACGTACTGAGAGCACTGCTCTGCAGAGCCACAGAATGCCACAGAATGGTGACAGCTGAGCTCCCAGCAGCCAACATCCCTCCCTCTGCTCCGAGCAACTGCGTGTGCACAAGCACATCTATCAGGTTGCTGCCCACAGCTTTGGCTTTAATTTTATTTTTAAAGCACATTCGCATGCAAATTGACTTGGCCTGGGAGGATACATGAGTACAAGAGCTCTTTCCTCTAGAGCGGCACTGGGAGGAACATGGTGAAACGGAGCAAAGCTTCCTCACCTCCAGGCTGCAACTCTGCAGCTAAGGAAAAGCCAGCTCATTGTTCTCTCTGCACACAGATGCTGGCTGTGCTGTTTGCAGCAGCCTTGTTCAAGCGAGCCGTTTCGGGATATAAAAGCATACCACATATCCCAGGGAAAAAATAAAATAAAACACAGGACTTGTCAGCTGTTTAATCTACTGTAAGAGCAGGGGATGAATCAGTCTGAATCTGTGACTGTGCCTGGCATGGTCCTGCCCCACTTCCCCAAAAAAGCAGGGCAGATTTGGAAAGGAATTAGGGTGTGAGGCTGGGGTCCAGGAAAAAGCACGATTCCTTGTGCCTCGGGCAAGCATCTCCGGGGCGAAAGCAGATGGGAATCCATTCCTCAACGCTCAAGTGAGCGCAAAACGAGCACAAAAACTCCTGGAAGAGAAGCAGCTCCAGCAGTACGGCAGTACGGACGGCGTCTGCTCGGAGCAGGGCTGAGCCGGCCACGGGAAGGCAGGCAGCGCCGGGCTTGGGGCGTCCGTCTGTCATCCGGCGACACCGAGACGCGCTGCGACCGAGAGCCGCGAGCGACGCCGAGCAGCTCCGCGCCCCGCCGTGCCGCTTGGGGGCCGAGCGTGAGAACCTCGGCGCGGGCCGGACGCGCGCTCGGCTCTCCGAGCCCCGCTCTGCTTTCGCATCCAAAGCCCGGCCGCGGCACGACGGGCCGACGTGTTGCCGATGCGCTTCCTCCGCTGGAAGCGGCGCGGCCCGCTCAGCTCCGCGCTCCCTCCGCACGCCGCCCCGGCCCGGCTCCTCCCCGCCCCGCTCCTCCCGCAGCCGCTGACCGCGGCGTTCCGTCCGCCCTCCGCCTCCGCGCCGGGCCCTGCGGCGCATGCCTCCCGCTCCCCGGGGCTCAGGAGAAGGAAGCGCCGCCCGTTCTTCCCGCGCGGAACGGAGCGCCGAGGGTCCGCCGGCACCACCGCCCCTTCTGCTCGGCCTCCCCCCGCGGCGGAGGAGGAGGCGGCGGCCGCAGGTGAGCGCCGAGGCGGCGGGCCGAGCCGGGCCCGGCCGAGGGCGGCGGAAGGCGGGAAGGGAACCATGGCGGCGCGGCGCGGCGGGGCCCGGCCTGGGCGGGCGGCGGAAGGCGGGCGGCCCCGCGGCCTCCGCGCGTCCCGTCGCGCCGCTTGGGCCGTTCCGTGCGCGGACTCCCGGGGAAGCGGCCCCTCGCGGAACCCCGAGGGCTGCCGCCCCTTCGCGCCGTCCCCGAGGAGCGGACGGCTTCAGCAGCGCCGGGTCGGAGCGGCGGCTGCGGAGGCGCCGTGAGGCGGTGAGGGCCGGGCGCGGTGAGCGCGGAGCGGCGGGCGCCCCATCGCTGCAGGTGCCGCGGGCGGGGCAGGACGTGGGGATGGCAGCCTTGAGCTGTGCGGGCCCTCCCGAAACGTCCGTAAGTCAGCGATGGTTCTGTGAGTTGCCGCAGCCTCAGAGCGGGTTGTGCCGCCTGCTGTGGCCGCCGTGCATTCCTGCGACAGGACGAGGGGAAACGGCCGCAAGTTGCGGGTTGGATCGGACGTCGGGGAAAACTTTCCGGAAGGGGTTGTGAAGCGCTGCAATGGGCTCCCCGGGGAGGTGGTGGGGTCAAGTCACCACCCTGGATGTGTTTAAAACCCGTTTGGATGTGGTGCTCAGGGACAGGATTGAGCAGAGGGCTGTTAGGGTAGGATGGTTGGTCGTGTTTGGACTTGATGATCTTGAAGGTCTTTTCCAACCTGAGCGATTCTATGATTCTGTCCCTTCGTGTCTTCGCAAGGTGTGTTTCTATAGCTCTTAATTGCTGGGCTTTATCTCTAAAGGAACTCAGCTGTATTTGAGCGCCAGAGGTGGTAAATATATACAGCTGCCATGAGTGCACATCCCTGTGGTGTATTGGTGCCACTGGGGTGCTGGCTGTGGCCCCAAAGAGCGATGTGAAAGCGAACCTCAGTCCTGTGTCACAGCTGTAGGGCAGCAGCCATCTGGGCGTGGGATGAGGAAGACATCTGCCCCACTTCTGGGAACTGTGGAAAGAGGTTAATAGGAAATCAGCTGGGTTCTTTGTGAAGCCGGGAACTTAAGCGTGTTAATTGCATTTCTTTGGGATAATTAGGTGTTCCAATTTCTGTTTGAACTTTAGGTGCTTCTTAGGAAGAAGGCAGTTTGTAATTTATCGTTGCCCCGGTGAATGTGTTGGAGAGCATTTTGAAAACTGTATCCGTGTTTTTATACAAGTTTTGGTTCTGACCCGCATCACAGCAGACTGCTCAGCTGCTGCCGTGAGACGTGAGCCAGGTGGATTCGTGGCCCAGCACGTGAAGGGTGAAGGATGTTCTTGATCCCCACACTTAAAGCTGGAATTGTGCAAGACTGATGTTTTGAAGCGGATTCCCACTGAGGAGAAAAGAATGCAAGGAATGGATTCCCAGAGCTCAGGGCTTGGGTTAAAGTGTGTTGTACGAGGGCGTTCTTTGGCAAAGAGTTGGCGAATGAAATGGCAAAGCTTTCGTTCTCTTTTGCCACAAAATTCATTGCAAACGATCAGAATGTTAGTGTAGGAGGGAGGTCTCACACACCTGTGCAGTGAGATATCAGCAAGATTTATTCCATGGGTCTTGGCAAGGCAGGGTTATTTAGGAACATACTCCAAAGAGTGTGCGGCCTTCAATGGGAAGCATAGGAAGAATCTCAAAAGTGAAGATGCTTACTTGAATTGGATTGTGGTTGTTGCAGGAGCACTGGAAACCACAAATGATGAGTGTTCTGTCTTATCCTCAGTGACAGTAATGGCAGAATTTACCATTTCAAGGGGTGTTGAGCAGAAGCCCTTGTGATTATCTGGCACGGTTAGTGTGAGTGCTAATAATTTACAATTTGTGTTACCAAGTGTTATTACATGGAAATTTTAGAAGCTTGACGTGATAAAAAGTATTTTCTTTTTTTTTTTTTTCTATTGTAGGATGGAAAAGAGACCAGCCTGAAAACTTTCCCCTTTGTGGGCTTTGCGGTTGTCTGCTAGAATGTTCCTTATGAATGCTTCTCCTCTGGTAGCTCTTCAGACACAATGGGAATCCTTTGGACCGGTGAGGAATTGTAGATACCCTGTTTGCTTCTCTGAGTCTGAAGGGGACATCGCCAGAAACTCTGTGCATGCAAAAGTTCAAATGATCATAAGCAGCCTGCAAAGTCAAGAGTCTCCCCTGGGTATGAACAATGAGTGTGAATGTATTATGCAGAAGAAACAAAAGGGAGAAAAAGGCACGAGCGATAGGGTTGCATCTAGCACCACACTGCTCCAGAAGCATCCCAAATACACCCAGAGGGGCTGTCCTGCTGATTCAGATGACGCTGAAGAGAATGTGGAGTTTGGGACTCTCTTGCTTGATTCTGATAGTGACGATTCTGTTGACCGTGGTATAGAGGAAGCTATTCAGGAGTACCTGAAAGCAAAAGGAAAAAGCGACCAGTCATTACAGAGGAATGCAGAGTGTTCCGAAAACATAGGCAGAGACAAAAGGCTTAAGAGAGAATTCTCCCAGGACAAAATGTCTGGTAACCTTCTCCCTGTGAAATTTAAAGCAGATATGCTCTCTGAAGAGTACTTTTCTGACCAGCTTAGAATTGGTAAAAGGCTACAGCCTGCTTCCCCTCAGAGCATTAGTAGTGATGACTCTTTTGAACAGAGCATACAGGCTGAAATTGTGCAGTTCTTGAATGAGAAGAAGCAACAAGAAATTAGCAAGTGTGTAATCGGGCAGGGTAAAAAAGATTCCCATGTGAGATCTGTCCTTAAAAGCAACAAACAAGCTTCCAACAAAACAAACTGCGGTGCTGTGAAGCGAGGTTGTAACGCGCTCCTCTTGAGACACCATCCCAAGCTACGGAAAACCAGCACGCAGTCCAAGTGTTTGAAGTCTAAACTCCAGGAAATGCCTGGTGATTTCCACCAAGTGGACCAAGCTTATCTAGAAGCAGCCAGCCAGCCCTGGTTACTGCAGCAAAATGAAGAAAGTGGAACTAACTACTGGCATCCTAGTGGAACCATTATGGATGAGAGCATGCACGCATCCGACTCCAGCAGCGATGATGGGATCGAAGAAGCCATTCAGCTTTATCAGCTGGAGAAGATCAGGAAAGAGGCAGGTCACACAACGGACTGTGTCCCTTTGCAAAGGGAGCAATTTGACACAAAGGGTATAGCGGACATTTCAGCAAGCCTGACAATTAGCTCGACAAAAAGTGCCTCACCAGAAATCTGTAAAAGCCCTACGAGCAACAAGAGGAAGGAGATTAATTCAAAGTCAGCAGAATTAGAAAGCTCCAGCAATGACTTTAACAGGCTGTTTAAACCACTGAAAAAAGCCAGGCATTTTGTACCTCCAGAAAACAAGATTGCTGCTTGCGAGCTCACATTGCAGGCTTCTTGCAGAGCAGACACATCTGCAGAACTCATGTGTGCAGAAGCTATTCTTGATATTTCCAAAACAATCATGCCATCCCAAATGGGAAGTGACAGCAAATCCCTCGCTGCAGATTCCTTCTTTTCTCCCCAGCTTCTCTCATCTTCCCATTGTGAAAGTGACAGCAGCCTTGTGGACAGCGATGACAGCATAGAGCAAGAAATCCGGGCTTTTTTGGCTCTGAAAGCACAGTCAGAAAGCCTTGTAACAAAGCCTCCTGGCCTTGTAACAAAGCCTCCTGGCCTGTCACACTCGATCCAGACGCCTTTGCCTTCTGATCAAAACAGCCTCACTGGTACCCTGGAGCCTTCTCTTCCCAAAACACTGAAACTCTCACCGAGTCGTAAAAAGAGACTTAAAAGGGAAGGCGGAGTAGCAAAGCAAAGTGCATCGAAAGCATCCGAACTGCTGGGGACGGGATTTTTTCAGCCAGATGCCTATTCAAAAGTTCCTGTGCTCCAGGAGGGCACCCTGAGCAGCTCTGAAGGACTCTGTGGCGCTCCGATGCTCAGCAGCAATGAGACTGAGCAGCAGCAGCTGATGTCTTCCGAGCCGTCTGAATCTGTTGGTGAATGTGTGGCCTTGGATGCTGGAAATCCTTTTTTGCAGGTTCAGAGTGGTGCCAGACAGCTTGTGAAAAAGACCGTCCAAAGTCAAGAGAGGGATGGTTCAGATGATGAGAGCAGTTCTCTGGATAGCGATGAGGACCTTGATAGTGCTATTAAGGACCTTTTACGATCTAAAAGAAAATTAAAGAAGAAGTCTAAGGACCAGAAATCTCAGTGCAAGAAGAGAGTCAGGTGTACCGAGACAGACAGTCAGCTGCTGGATGAGGTCAGTGATCTGCAGCAAAGTGAGTGGAAAGGTAAAAATCCCGTGCTGCTGAAAAGCTGCCTCTCAAAATCTAGAAAAGCTGTGAAGGAGAATGCAGTCAGAAATCATCCAGATGAAGTAAATGTCAGCCTTTCTAGTGAAAGACCTGAAGCCGTTAAGAACGTAGAGTGTGATTTACAGCTTAAAAAAGGATGCAAACCTGAACCCGTTTCGAACCAGAATAACCTTCAGATAGCTAAAAACAGGAAATGTGTTTTCACAGCTGCATCAGGCACTGATGATAGCAGTTCAGTGGACAGTGATGACAGCATTGAACAAGAAATTAGGAAATTTTTGGCAGAAAAGGCTAAAGACTCTGCAGGCAATTCAGAGATGCAAAAAAATGAGGCAACTCTAGACCTGTTGAGCAAACAAACTGCAAGTAAAGGAAAAGTGAAGCAGCAGTCGGTTGAAAATGAGATGGACTTCTTGCTGGGTCAGACTAAAAAGACTAAGGGATCTCAGCAAACTGATGAGTTGAAGAGCTCTCAGAGAATGGAAGGGAAAAGTGCAATGTTACTTGACAGTGGGAAAACTGCTTCCTCTGCACAGAATGTTTCTTTTAATACTACTGGTCAGTCAAAAGCTAAACTAGCAATGGTGGGGGTTAAAGGTGTTGCTGCTGGTGAGTTACCTGGGAAAGCGACAGGGAAAAAGGATGTGTCTAACACAGAGCCTGTGCAGAAAACACTGCCTTCTAAAACCAGCAGAAATGAAGGTCGTAAAAGGCAAAAAGTGAGCAATGCAAAGTCTAGATCCAAAAGAAAGAACTCCTTTCAATTAAAGATTTCGAGTAAATTTATTGCAGGTCTGAAACGTGCTCGGGAGAGGAAGAAATCCATGCTTTTGAACAAAAAGCAGAAATCAGAGCATTTGCTCAGCCAGAGCAGCGCATCAGGAACAGAGGTAGCTTCCCAGGATACAGATGTACTTACACGGGAAAAAGGAGCCCCACTGCCAAAAGGTGAATGTAGTGGGGAGAATGAGACAGCAATAAAAGAATCCAACTCTTGTCAGAAGCTCGCTGTGGAAGTGTCAGGTCCCCATGTAGCAGAAACCTGTGAAAGACCAGATGCTGCTCCTTTGTGTATCAAAGAGGCAGAGGGCTGCAAAAAGGCTGCTGCTGCAGGAGGCTGGACGGATTCACATCTGAATCTCTCCTCACAGCAGCAGAGTGTGGCAGCAGGACAAGTGGATAAGGTTTGCAGAAGAACAAACAAAGCTGAGAACGTGCAGATGGGGGCTGAGGAAGGAGATAGCCACAGAGACAGCAGGGCAGATTCAAATGTGAGTCCCCCACTCCTACAGAGCAGTGCGGCAGTGGTAGAAGCAGATAAAGGTAGCAAAGAAACATGCCAGCAGAGTATACACGTATGTGGTCGTGGAGAGAATAACCAGCAGGACAACAGGCAAGATCCACGTGCAGGTTGTGCACTGCAGGAGCTAAGTGTGACAGCAGTAAGAGCAGGTGAAGCTAGTGGAGAGGCATGTGCAGGAAACGGTGTGCACGTGTGCGTGGAGAAGGAGAGCATTGCCTGCCAGGACAGTGACAGACAGTCAGAAATTCAGGTATCCAGCTCCAATTGGGAAGGCAAAGTGCCTGTCCTGCAGCACAGGGAAACTGATTGTGAACCGGACCAAGGGCAGGAAGTTTTAGAGAAGGACTGTGCAAAATGTACTGACACACCAGCAGGGGACAGCCCAGATTCCCTCATGAAATTGCAGGTATCAGATAAGTAAGTACACTTTTTTATCTTTCCTCCCACAGTAACAGGCTTTTTAGAAAACAACTATCCTTGTAATTACCTTGATAAGACATGAGAAGGTGATAAACTCATATCGTACACACACTAAGGTGAAAAATGCTTCTATATAACAGGGGTATCATGGATAAACGTGCTTAGGTTTTGTAGAATTTTGTAAATTATTTAAAGCGTTCTAAGGAGATATTTTTTATAATGATTTTTAGTGCTTACATTACTACAGAGTGCTGTAGCTATTGTAGATGAGGAGATACTGCCTAATCAGGCTTTAAATTATGAGGCCTCTAATCGTGTTGGAAGGAAACCTGTTTGTCAGTCTGTGAGGAGATCCCAGGCGAACACAGCATTTGCTGATAGCGCAGTGCTTTGGAAGCTCACTGCCTGCCATGTGTTTACACTCGAGCTGCCTTAGGACAATCCTGTGTCCCCAGGGACTGCACAGTGAACTCAGCAAGCAGAACTCCAGCAGAGTTGGTGCAGCTGCAGGTGTGGAGGCCATGAAGATCCAAATGCAAATCCAGGCAGGCGCAGAGGGTCTGTCTGTCTGCTCATCCCTGCGCAGCGACCGCAGTGGCCACAGAAAGCACCTTTGGAATGCTGAACACCTCTTGCTAGCAGATGATTGGAAGCACAATTGCAGTTGGAGCGAAGTGAAGGAATGTCTGTTCAGACATGACTTCTGTGGGTGTCACTAGACTTGGGTGTTGCTGGGCCTGCGAGCCTGAAACAATTTCCTCCTTACTCTTGAGTCTAATTCTGAGGCCCTGCAGTTACCCAGCAACGTGTTTGGATTTTTCCAAATGAACTTTCTTCAACTGAGTGCCCTTACTTTCCTTTTTCAGAAGTGGTTTCTAAGGTGTTACATTTCTGTGAACTTCTACTTTCATTTGCAATTTTTGTGCAATAGAGCAAAGCTAGATTTGCTGCAGGAAGTCCCTAACAGAAACGCCACGGATATTTTCAGCACTGTTCTTTCATACTTAGAGAGTTTTCTCTCTTTTTCCAGCACCCGGAATAAAGCAATTTTTCACTACTGTCTTTTTTTATTTGAACTGACTCTAAGTGGCATTCAAGTAATGCCTTTGTATCGCAATGAAAGTGTTCCACACCAGTTCCACTGAAAAATCCAAAAGGTGTGAATTGAAGCTGTTGACCGGTTCTTTCATTTCCATTTGTGTGTAATGAAGTCCCCTGAGTAGTTTGTTCCTGCGTCTGTCCTGTGAATCGATTTGATGCTATCTCTATTCAGTCTTCTACTGACCTCCTCAGCCAGACTCCCATTTCGGCTCACCTCGTTTCTTAATCACTTCAGCAGTCTTCCTGAAGGCTGGCCTTAATGTTCAGAAACGGAGTGAAAGCAGCCAAGAACGGATCCAGTATCACCTGCTGTCTCCAGATGTGATTGCATTGGCAGAATGCTGGCAAACTGCGGCGTGGCATAGAGTAGAAAAAGTAACCGTGGCATGTAGAGAAATAGAAGACATCCTTGGTGTGTTTATACTGTCGTGCAGGTGCGTTTCAAACATGCTTAGAGTGGTCACTTCGCATTTCTTAGCGTCAGGCCACCTTTTTGTAGTCCTTGGGCTGGTCGGTGGAGGAGTTCACTGCTGGCTCACTTCATTTTTGTGGTAGGATACCTAGGAAAAGTGGGTTTTTTACTTAGCTCGTGCCTGCAGGAAGTTTGCACAGGCATGTCGTTCTGTCTGCCTTGATTCAGCTGCAGGATTTGGGCATTTTGTTTGGAATAGGTGAATAGGCTGTATTTTGAAATAGAATTTTTCAGAGTACCTTGCTTTCAAAGGATTCAACCATACTTAGTAGGGATGGTGGAAGCACTATGTGTGAAATAAGCTGAATGTTTTTTCAACGTTTTTCACTAATCCAACCTTAAGACTTACGAGGTGTTTTGTGCCCCCGTCGGTGTGTCTGTGTTCTCAGTACTACTTGTGAACTGATTCACTTCCAGTGAAGATGCAATTCTGATTACCTTGTGCTTTAAATACAAGCTAATTTCAAGCAGCACTTTTTAAAAATAAAAAAAAAAAAAAATTGAAGAAACTTGATTTGTATATAGGAAATGGTGTACATTGATACGTTTATAATGTTTAATAAATGGGGTTCTGACTGTGGACCGTGGAACCAGAGTGCTCCTGTGGTTTGTGTCTCCGTCACTGGTGAGCAGTGTGTTGTGTTGCAGCTTTTCCCTCCTGTCTGCAGTCCAGAGATGCAATTAATCCATGTCAGGATCACCTGTGAGCGAAGGATGCCTCGGAGTCAATCCAGTTTGCATTGGCTGAACCTGGGAGCAGGGCCACAGCTCCTCTGCTGCTCCTGCACCTTTCCTCCTGTGCTCTCAGCCACCAGCAACCTGAGGCCGTCGTCCCCTGGGACAGCAGTGTGTGATGTCCTTGTGGATGGGACAGAACGCAGCTCTGATGTGATGTGGCCATTTAGGGAAACGTTCTTCATAGCAAGAAGAAGAATCTCCTATCAGCCAGGCAGCTGACCCTGTTTTGGCTTCTCCAGTGATGGCCACAAAGGCACTGGCTGAGTGCTTCAGCCTTCACAGGGGTTAATTTGATGGTGCAGCTTTGGAGCGTATACAAGGATAGAGCCATGAACTCAGGTCTACTGAAGGAAGTGAAGAAATTGCCTTTTTTTTTAATGAGCTGCCTTTGTTTTTTTAATTAAACAAAAACAAAACCAACCATGATTGGATACATTGCTTTATTTTTATGACAGCAACTCTGTGCTTCAGGAAAGGCGATCTTCAGGGATCCTCGGGGGCCCAGGACTGCCTTCATTTTTTATAGGCAGTTCTTTGCTGGTATTTTAGGAGTCTGTTTCAACTTGTGACTGCTTTGTATCAAAGGAAGAAACACTCCATCTCTGCCACCATTTCCTTTATTAATGTCTATGCTTGGGGCTGGCTGCAGCCAGAGCTCACACGTCGCTCCCTTCTCAGCCAACCTGAGTGGAGGGCATGAGGCAACATGACCCCAACATACTATAGGATGCAAGTTATGTGAGGGTGATGCAAGTCACACAGTGTGCAAAACTGTTCAAACAAACTGGTTTCAGCTCAGGAATTAAACAAAAAGGGGAATAATTAAGGCACGGAGGAAAGGACCTGGGTGGTTTTAGATCAAGTATGGAGAGAGATGGAAAACAGGTGACAAAACCCACGAAGTTTATATTTCTAAGAGCTCCATCCCTGAATTATTCAACCTGCAGAAAAATCTGTGGATAGAAGTATTTGTAAAACTGCCACAAGTGTTTGCATTAATTCTGCCCTTAATGTTACTTCTCATTTCAGGAGAAGAAAGAGAAGAAAAACTCAAGCATTATCTAGAGTCTAACAGAGGAACAGCAGCGAGTGAGAGGAGGTTGCTTATCTATTTTAATGTGTTGAATATTTAAAAGGTTAACTTCCCAGGCTCATTTCTGTGCCCAGTATTTACTTGCTCAAATGTGTTGGTGTGTTTTTGGAAGGATGAATTCAGCTGGCTGTTTTTGCCTTTGGGATAACGAAATGAATTGCAGTGCAGGGCTTGAAGTGTTTGTTAGGCTTGCTCGAAGTTGTGTCTGGCCCAGGAGCATACACTGGGCTTTGAGTGTTTAAAATGTTTTAAAACAAAAACTCACCACAAAACGCAGCCCTGATGGCACGCTGTTCAGTTTTGAACATTGGATGTTCAGTGATTTTAACTAAACAGAGCAATCTGTTCTTCCTCCAAAGCCAAATGAGGCCTCGACTGGTTGGGAGTCCTGTTAAAAAAATACATCCTAGAGTTTGAAGCTGGGGGGGTGTTTCTAGAAATGTATTGCTACCTTTAACCTGTCAACGTAGCTATTTTGTCACACTGTGTAGCAAGCTGAAAGATTCTTTAGTGAGTTCAGGAGGAGTTTTCATTAAATTCCAACTTAACTGTTTAACTGCATGAACTTGTGTTATCCTGCTGCTATTCGTTGTGCCATGTGAGCTCTTTTTGACAATCTGTGCCATTTCCTTCCTCTCAGAAATAATTTTCAGGATCACTTCAGTACTGTGGATTCCTGCATGCGTTTCTTTATTAAGACAACAGCTCGGAAACAGTTCTGTAAGTTCAGGACACCCTCAAGGCTACAGCTTGCCTACACACTGAGTTCCCTGCTCACAGCCTGTGACAACCCACTGCTTTCAGGAAAGGTCACCTGCAGCCTGGTGGCAGCAGGCAGGGCTGTAACTGCACCTGCAGTGCGTGGTGCTTCACAGTGGGGCTGAGCAGCAGGTTTGGGGTAGGGTCGGTGCTGCCGTTTGCCTGACTTTTTAGGGGAGGAGGGAGTTATTTTTCGAACTAAGCAGCCAGCGATGAACTGAAGTGGTTTCATTGCTCTAACAGTGCGAGGGCCCACTGACTTTGTAGCTGGGGTGAAAGTTGAGGGTGTCGTAGGGGGTGATGAAGTTGGCGGGGCCGGTGACACGGCTCTTCTCCAGCGAGGTGTTGAGCCCGTCGTTCCTGTACATGCCACGCTGGGCCAGAGCGTCTGAGAAGGCGTGCGAGGTGACGTGGTAGGAGATCTGCACCAGAAAGGGAGAAGGAAATGAGACAAGAGGTGTTCAGACACCACAGAACCTGCGGGAGCTCGGACAACGTTCTAAGAGTACTTCGTCACAACGCCCCTCGAGGAGTTCGTTGTTATGGGGCAGCCCAAAACCAAGGAACTGCGGGGGTTCAAAGCCGCTGGGTCTGAGATGGGGTTGCTAAAATCTCCCAGCCTGGTAGCTGCTGGGCAGGAGAAAGATTCGCCGTGCCCTGGGAGGAAGGCAGACCCCCACCCCCCCGCCAGCCCGGGGCAACCCCAAACCGGCCACTCTGTATATATCCTGCCCAGGCTCCGGGCTCGCACCTACCGGCACTTCGTACGCCGTGGGTGCTCTGCGGCCGTACTCCTGGTTGCTCGTCCGGTACAGCGGGTGCGGCTCCGGCTGCCTGCGGGGACACAAAGCATCAAGCCGAGCACAGGGCAGAGGGGCTGGGGGGCCGGAGGGGGACCTATAGGGGCTCACCCGTAGCCGCGGAAGCAGGGGAGCTGCAGGAAGCGGCGGGGCAGCGTGGCGCTCACCCACGTGCCGGTGCGGGGCGCGGGGCTCTCGGCGGGCTGCGGCTGTGCCATGCGGGCCGGACGGGACGCGCGGCAGCGTTGCCAGGCAGCGAGCGCGGGGGAAGCGGAAGGTTCCGCTCCTCTTCCTCTTCCTCGGGCACGGAGATGGCGGTACCGCGGATCTTAAGGGCGGGTGAGCGGGTAGGGCCGTGCCGAGCAGCGCACAGCCGTGCCCGTCCCGCCTGGTGACCGACGTGCTTCTCTCCCTGCAGCGGCACCGCGGTTCTACAGCGGCATCCCCGCCCCGGCGGCGCTGACGGCGGCAGCGGCGCGGCCCCGCGGTGAGCGCGGCACGGCACGGCCCTTCTTCCCCTCCTGCCCGGCCCTGTAGGCACGTTGGGCTGCATCGCTTTTTCTCTTCTCTCTCCCCAGACCCGGAGGACAAGCTGCTGAGCGAACCGCTCCGCCACCCCGATTTCTTCAACGTGAAGGAGCTGTTCTCCCTGAAGGATCTTTTCGACGCCCGAGTGCATCTGGGGCACAAGAAGGGATGTCGGCATCAGTGAGTGAGCCCGCTTTGTGATCCAGCACTTGGTCACAACAGGAGCGTTTCTCTAGGGCACGCGAGCCTTTGGAGGCAGCACCAAACCTGGGCTGGGGCTGCCTTAGCAGGGTCTGTTGTGATAGAACAAGGGCAGATGGTTTCAAACTAAATCTTTTAGTTTGAGGAGGCTTAGACTGGGTGTAAGGATAAAGGGTTTTTTAACTATAGAAGCAGTGAAGAACTGGCACTGGTTGCCCAGTGAGGAGGTTATACCTCGTCCCTGCAGACACACAGGGTCGGGCTGGAGGGGCTGAGAGCACCTGGTGGAGCTGCAGGTGTCCCTGTTCACTGCAGGGAGTGGGACCAGATGGCTTTTAAGGAACCCTTCCAACTCAAACGACCCTCTGGTATCAGCAGGCAGTTGGGCTGTGGGAAGGTTTCTTTAGTACTGGAAATCCCTCCTTGATGCCAGTAACCCTGCATGTCACCCACCCTCCATCCCTGCAGGTTCATGGAGCCCTACATCTTTGGCTGCCGCCTGGACCAGGACATCATTGACTTGGATCAGACGATGCAGCATCTCCAGCTGGCCCTCAACTTCACTGCCCACGTCGCCTACCGCAAAGGCATCATCCTCTTCGTCAGCCGCAACCGGCAGTTCTGCCACCTGGTTGAGAGCACAGCACGGGAGTGTGGGGAGTACGCCCATACACGCTACTGGCAGGGCGGCCTGCTCACTAATGCCCACATCCAGTTCGGTCCCGGCATCCGCCTGCCCGACCTCCTTATCTTCCTCAGCAGCCTCAACAATGTTTTTGAGCCCCATGTGGCCATCCGGGATGCTGCCAAGATGAACATCCCCACGGTGGGGGTGGTGGACACAAACTGCAACCCGTGTCTCATCACCTACCCCATCCCTGGCAATGACGACAGCCCCACCGCCATGGAGCTCTACTGCAAGATCTTCAAGATGACCATCATCCGCGCCAAGAACAAGAGGAAGCAGATTGAGGTCTTCCAGGATCTGCAGAGCCGAGAGAAGCGCGATACGAGCCGCCCCGTGCTGGCTGAAGGCCAGGCCTGACCACGGGGCTCATCTCCGTGCTGGAGGTGGGCATCCTGCTCCACTTCTACTGTGCTGCACCTATGGCATCACACAGCCTGGCTTTCTTTCAAGAGCTGGGCTGCTTGCTGCACAGGGACATTTCCAGCTGAAAAACAATTTGCCCAGAGCAATTGATCCAAGGGGAGATGGAGCGGGGGCAGTGCCAGCTCTGTCCTGGTTTGTTGTTGTGAGGAGCACTTCTGTCCCGCGACCCTCCTGTTGTGAAATGCTGCAAAGCCACTTGTATCACACGCCACAAATAAAGGGGTCTTTGAGCCTCTTCTTTCTTTCCCTGTTACATGGGGAGGTGGGGAAATTTCTGGCAAAAATTCATGCCCACAGGGTGAGGGAGAAAGGTTTGGTGGTGGTCCCCAGCCTCGGGATTTCAGGGCACCGTGCAGGGCCATTCGTGGGTGCTCAGAAACTGCAGGGAATTGCCAGGAAAAGGGCAGTCCAGCCCTTAACTCTCTATGTGCCAATATGGGAGCGCTCAGGGCAGCCCTGCACCGCTCAGGCCTGGTGATGCCCGGCCCGCATCCTGGCTCTTCTACTTTCTGTTTACGCAGAAGGGGATCCGCCATGCAGTCCTCCCGCCCAGCAGGGGGCGCTCGAGAAAGCAGACGCTCAGTGAGGATTGCCCCTGCGGCGCTTCCGCCGCCCGCCCTATATAAGCGGAAGTCGGGAGGCGGGACGGCCTTTCGGCGCGGCGCTCGGCGGGGTTGACGGTGGGCTGTATGCGCTGCGTTGTGGGGAGCCATGGAAAGTCTCGCCGCCTGCCCGGCCGCTCCTCTGGTCCTTTCGAGCCGACGCGGCTCCCCACGTTCGCTCTCTCAGGCGCGGGCTCCGCGCTGCAGCGACGGGAGGCGGGCCTGTAAGGCCGCGAGCTGTGGGGCCGTGTGCGGGAGGAGGGGGACGAGAAAAGCGTGAGTGGAAGCGCGGGGTGGCGAGCGGTCTGTGCGGGAGCTGTGGGCTCACGGAGCGAGGACGAGGGCCTCAGAGCCGCGTGTCCAAGCGGGGTGAACGGGCCGCAGGCGGGCGGTTGGCCTGCACGCTCGGCCACGTGGCCGCGCACCGACAGCCCGGCGCCACGTGCGGGGTGTGCGGCGCTGGGAGCGGGCGGCAGCGGGGCGCGCTTCCGTGGGCAGGGGTGAGAACAGGGCTGCGGCCTCGTCGGGCTGGAAGGTGGAGAAACTGGAAGGAATCTGTTGAAGAAGGGGGGATTTTCGCTTGTTTCTTTTAATTTTTAGGTTTTCTGAACTGATGTGAAGTGCTGCGGTTCAGGAAAGGATTATTTAGTGGGCTCAACGTCCGTTGTTAACCACGTTCTCTTTTTATTTATGCTTTTGCTGGCAGAAGACAAAGGGCGGGATGAAAAGGATTTTCCGCGTTGAAAACCCGACGGTAAGCAATGCACAGAGCATCTCCGCTCTTCGTGGGTTTGCTTCTGTTCTTTATTATTTTCCTTCCTGCCTCTGGCGTTGCAAAGGTGGCTGCTGTGGCATCTTTGTGTCATTAGGTGGCAGAGATGGACAGGCTGTGTTCTACGCTCGATTGCTCTGAAACCGGTGAGCACTCAGAGTGGTTGACAGCCTGACATTGTTTAGATGTAGTTTTGTTGTCCTGGTTTTTTTTTTAATTACTCTTAAGTGTGAAACCGCTGTGTAGTAGAATAGAAAGCTGTTACGGATGTCTGAGTCCTGGGAGTTGTATGCTGGCAGCCCTGGTGCTGTTCCTGTGTGAGGGTGAAAAATATGTCTGTAAAATACATTTATTTCTCTAGAATCGCTCTTCAGGACCTTTCAGTTTCTTAGCATCATTAAAAAAGAAAATGTATAACCAGCTTTAAAGCATATCTAAATTGATATCATCAATGTTGTGTGTGTTGTCTGCTCTTTTTCAGAGGGAGGCACGTGATGTAGCAAACTCAAGAGGTCACAAAAACCCGAGGTGAGCAGTAGTGGGTATTACAGGGGTATCGTTCATTACTTAGAACCATGCCCCAGTCGTGTTGCAGATATGGCTGCAGTGCCATGTCTGTGTCATTAGGTGGCAGAAAGGAACAGGCTGTGTCTGTGCTAATGCTCTGAAACCCGTGGGCACTCAGGAATGATCAGCAGCCTGACAAATGTTTCTGGTTTTCTCTTTTTTTCTGTGATGTTAACCTTAAACTGTGTAGTATGGAGAATACCAGTGTGGTCTGGAAGCAGTTGGGTGTGATGCAGCACATGGAGGAAATTGCTTTCTTCTACTTATATTTGTTAAATGCTGTCAGCAACTTCTTGATTTCCAAGGGTGTTGCAGGTGAGAAGGTGCAGTCAGCATCTTCTGAAATGCCTTTAAAACTGTGCTTGTTTTTAGAAGGAGAAATGAAGATACTTTTTCTTCATGCGGTTACATGTGAGGACAAGTCTGAGTTGTGCAGTTTCCTTCAGGTAGGCATTATGAGAACATGCTCAGACCTCGTTGTGTTCCCAAAATGGTGTCACACAGTGCTGCTGGAAGGATGTCACAGGTTGTGGAGCAGTGAGGTGGTGGTGTAGACATACTGAAGAAATGAGATGGGCTCAACTTTCAAGAAGTGCAGAAGGAGTGCTTTCTCCTGCTTCTCATGACGAGGTGTAGCTTCCTTGTTTGTGATGCTGAGCTCTAACACAGTAGACAAAATCTGAAAATGCAATTGAACACCGTTTTTTAACTTGGTTTTGCTGTGTCTGTGCTTGCATGCTGACAAGGAAGCGTGGCCTGTAGGGCAGCAAGCCACTGGGCAGCTCAGGTACCCAAGTGCTGCAGTGGTTTAATGCATCACTGTCATTTCTTGGTTGATGTGGGCTATGGGAGCATCTGCTGTGCTGATGGTGTTTCTAAAGCGAGTGAGAAGCCCTCACCACACAAAGCATTGTGAAACTGCGAGGCTTTGCAGTGACTAATAGCTTTACAAAATCTGGCAGTGCTAAATGTTGGAAAATGTCATCATTAAGTGGGCATTAGGAGGGCCAGAGGTGTCATTAGCTGAGCGGGTGGCTGCTGGCTGCAAAATGAGCCATTTAATTGGGAAAAGGCAACTGCCTTCCAGCAGTGGTGGTGGAAAAGAATGCTAATAAGGTTGTTGGGAATTTGGCTATGTGTAAAGGCATGCTCTGTGATTCAGCTCCTCCATTTAACCCTGAAATATGGGTTGTGTTTCCATCAGCACTCACATCAAAGGCCATGGAGGGGATGCTGAGTGCCTGATGAGGCTCCCTTTAAGACCTCTGTGTAAGGATTTCCCTGGTGCCATTTGCTACTAACTGTATTCCTTTGGCTAAGCAGAAATCCCATATTTCCCCCCCAAAAAGCCTTATATAGAGGCATAGAACCCTTCTAAAGTGATCTGAATTTGCTGAGTGCTTTCTGCAAGTGCTTTAGATCTGATCTGCACAGGTT